GATGTGTGAGGAAAAAGGACAGGAGGAGGATGCAGCATGAATTAGAGAGACCGTATATTTATGTGTACACAGAAAAATATCGATCATGAGCTAAAACCAAACAAATCCAATAGAAAAGTGGGTTTTAAAACAGAACAGCGTGTGCTGCTGGCAGTTCCTCCATCTTCATGCCTGAATCATTTCCTATCAGCGCTGCAGTGTGTGTGTGATCTGTAAAGTACAGTGTGAAAGTACCAGTCCAACGAATATCAGAACCAACTCACTTCTTCTGTTTTGACAGTGATCCACATATCATTTAATCTGATCAAAACCGTGTTTATGACAGGGCAACAGTCGCCGTTGGTTCCTTTTTCTTTTCTTTTCTTTTTTCCATCCAACCACTTAATGAACAATGCTCCTTTTGTGTTTTGCCTATCTTTTTATGAAAATAAGCAGACCGTTTTCATCTTTTATGTGCCTTATCCAGGTTTTTCTCTGTTCTCCGTTTCCTCTCTTAACCTTATCAGCCTAGAGCTCCAAAGTGGATCAGTGAGGGGCAGATTAGATCTGAGAGAAGGGGGGTTAATTCCCAGTCCCAGCCAAATCTGTTTATTCAGGAAGACTCTGAGGGACACAGAGCTGAGAGGTTCCCTCTCCCCATTAGTGATCACCTGCAGCAGTCCCCCCCCCCCCCCCCCCCCCTTCCACAAGCGTTTTGCCCACTGGTTGTGTAAAACCACCATAGCCATCTCTTTTCTATTCCCCTCTCTTCATAAACTTCCCTCAGATGCACCCGCCTCCAACCCCCATCTATCAACTAGTTGGCAATGGCATTGTTTTTAATCATCAGAACCTCAAAATTATTATTATCCGCTTCTGATGCGGCAATTAAACTTCAGGTCAGAGGCACAACGAGCGGTGATCAGCAGCCGAGCTGAGAAGTTTTAATTAGACGATCAGACCATTAATGCACAAAAAAAGGTGTGCGCTGGGAAATTAACGGGAACGTCTAATCAGGGTTAGCGACTCCGAAGAGGAGTCAAGTCGAACAGAGAGCAAAAAACAAATCATTTCCGCACCACTGGACAAAACTCAATTAAATATGCATGCAGAAAAATGGAAAGTTTCTCCGCATCCGCCGCACCGACTGTTAGAAAACTGTGGAAAATCTCACGGCGGGGTCGGCAACCTGCTTATTGTTATTCTTCTGTAATAAAAATGAGAGAAGGGCCAGATGCTGGGGTCTGGGTGCAGCAGCGTGGTTGTCCATCAGCAGCTTTCTGCTTGACTTCCTCGTGGCGGCTGCAGCTTCTCCACCGCGCGCGGGGAAAGACGGAGAGGTTGGGTGGGGACAATCTCCTCTAGCAAGCTGTGAATTTACAAAAATAAAATCATTGTCACTTTCAAGAGTTGTCTGTGTATGTTTGGCTGTCTGAGTTTCCTGAAACACACACACACACACACACACACACACACACACACCACACACACACACACACACACACACACACACACACACACACACACTGTCAGACATACATCTCCCCTGAGAGGCAGAGACATGGAAGGTTCACTGAGCTACACGCTGGGAGGCTTGTCGATTAATCTGCCAAAGGTTCATAAAGTTATAACCAGACTTGTTTTTCTCTTTTTTTAAAAAACAAAAGCTTCACCAACTCTGGGTTCTATATTGTAAAATAATCCCGAGCTAAACAGCCGCCTCCTAGACCTTGTTTGTATTAATTAACTTAAGATATTGCGGAGGGGAGGGAGGTTTTGTCCTCATGTCAGTCATGTCAGAGCTCAGCGGGAATCTACAACGGGCTCTGTTTCCGTGTTTGATTAGGTGAGGAGATAAGCTTCAGTTTAAACAGGTAATATCCACCTCACATATACAGACCCCTCCTGTGTGCTGGATCCATACAAACCGGAGCGCAGTGGGGAGCTGGCCTGTTTACAGGGCAGCGCCGCTCGCTACGACTTCACAAACAAATCACTCATTCAGATTTCTGGGTGACGTTGCAGCTGATTGCACGAGCGCTCTGGATGCACGGGGACTGGCGCTCACAACTACCATCAACCGTCACATCCTTGTTCCATAGCAGGCTTGATCACAGTGCACATTCACACAAATAATGCACTCCCAACTGCGTTATGAGGATCTGTACCACCACTTGATTGAGCAGTGATGTCATTCTGGCACATAAACACACATTCTGCATTAAAAAAACAAAACAAAGGGAGGAAAAATACCTGTGGGGCTTAACAGAGCTGTGGAGTAGTTAGCTTGTCTCACAGACTTGGATGACACAAGCTGAGCAATCCAACTCTGAGACAAAGCAGGACCCGAAGGAACTTGCACGCCGATTTTTGACTGAAGATAAAAAAGGTCCTGACGCAGAACAAAGTATTCAAATGGACCTTTTTCCTCCTGTTTTGGCCTTATACAGACACTACGTGGCTCTTCTACTCGCTCCTGCGCTGTTTCCTGTAAAACTAATGTCAGCGTTAACATAAGCAGCTGGAAAAATTAGTTTCAGCTGTTATGTTCGAAACTGCCTATTGTTTTTTTCAAATCCCAATGCTTACAGAGGTGTCTCCTCCTTGACAATTAGCACACCAGGCTAAAACCGAGTGTAAATAATGTTTGATGCGTGTGACAGTGTTGTTTTTCTTTCTGATATTCATTAATAAGGCAGAATGCTTAGTGGACTTTCAGTGGTGTGTGTGTGTGTGTGTGTGTGTGTGTGTGTGTGTGTGTGTGTGTGTGTGTGTGTGTGTGTGTGTGTGTGTGTGTGTGTGTGTGTGTGTGTGTGTGTGTGTGTGTGTGTGTGAGGAGTGGTGTTGGTCCCAGGAGGAAAAATTGTTCTTTCATGTAGGTCCCCACAGATTTTATCTCATTGTGCGCTATCATGCACACAAACGACTTGAGGTAAACAGCTTAGCGTTACCATAGCGATCCCTACTGTAAGCAATGGCAAAAAAGCTGCTGTGGACAGAAACCATCAGCATAAATAATAGTTCTGACTGCTTTCATAAACCGCTGAACCGTGGCACGTTCCTCCTCGAGGGAAGTGCACGGTGTTTAATTTGTTACAAACTGTGTTCTTCTTTTTAAAACTAAGCTAAGAAGTTCTTATTTTTCACCTTAAAGCCTGTCTGTTAATCAACAGGTAGCGGCCCCGCTCCTCATTGTTAGCTAAACATAAATAGGTACAAATGGAAAGGAGCCATTCAGTAGGGTCATTTCCTACAAGCAGCTTGAGGAAATCAGTAGTTAAAGCATGAAATACTGAACAGTAAACAGAAAAATGACCTCCACAGCAACACCCAGGTGACCTCAATCTTCCTTTGGCGCGTATTTCTGGAAAAAGAAAAAGACTTGAGAATATATGGCTTCCACTTCCTAATAGTTTTCCCAGCTGATCCTTTATTTTTTTTTTAAATTAGCTATCTTTTAAAGCTTGACCCTTTCACCTCCAAGCTGCAATTTTCCAACACTAAATCGTGCAGTGATGTGCCTCTGATATGCAGTCCCCTCAAAAGTGCATGAGTCCTGAAGTCATTGTTTCAGAGAGGAAACCCGCAGTGTAAATACAGTAACTGAGAAAGCATGTGTGGGTAGCACCGGGTTCATCGTCTGGCGACGGGGGTGATCAGTAAACTCCTTCAAATTGCATATCCTCTAATGATTCCACAGCTTTGCAAAAAAGAAAATGAAAACAGGATTTTATGTTGCTCCGATGTGATTTACATAATGCCGGCAATGGCTCACACATGATTATGCTTGGCTTTATGGCTCAGGGAAAATGAAGAGGCTCATACTCACCGATATGGAGAGAGGATTGAGAATTTAAGATAGAACTTTGTTACCTCTGATATTGCACATTACTTTTGTCCCGAAACGGCGCGTCTGTAAATCAACAAATCTTTAAAATTACGTAAAATATCATTTCATCCCACGCGGTCTTCACCTGCCGCTGGATGAAAAACTGAAAATGTGCACGTTTTATTTCCCCGTAACTCTTCCGCTTTTCCGTAATATCAACAGTCCTGAAAAGCAGCTCGTTATTTGTTGGGAAAGCAGCTTTGGAAGGTGAACTTTGGTGGCTCTGGATAATAAAGTGAAAGGTAACGGAGTGCAGTTTCTGCCCTAAAAAGGCAGCTCTGGATATGGAATGCCACAGGCAGCTGTTCCTCCCTCATCAGAGGACATGTTATAAAGATAGCTCCACTTGGATTGAAATAATGCCACCCATTCCTGCCCCAAAGTGCACTGTATCATGTGCTATTGTTCAGAGGGGCCCGTGTGGGGGAGAAAAATGCTGCGACTTGTTAAGTAAACATAAAATACAGACATCGCAGCATGTTTAAGAACACGGCAGGTTATTCTTCCACTAGCAGGCTCTGTGGACTCAAGTCACTGAGTCTGATTTCACCGAAAGCACCGAGGGTTTTCGCTCCACATCTTGACAGCTTAAATGCTGACACCCCCCCCCCCCCCCCTCCTTAGTGTCAGGTCCACAGCCTGTTGAGGTGAGAGTGAAGATAACGTTTCACTGTGTCTATATAGCACTGTCATGTGAAGGATTATGTAGCCATGCACTTGCTGCTTGTAGGACTGTAGGGGGTCTGATACCTATCTGCTTGTGGTTTCAGCAGCTTGTGCCTTTCTTTTTCTTTTCTTTTTTGTTGGTGTTCTAATTTTTTTCCACCGCCGAGTTCAGAGCTGACTAGAAACCTGTGACTTAGACAGACATGTACAGTATCTCTGTGTCCTTTTAGTCTGGTGCTGTTGTTGTTAAGTGCTTTTGGGGTGTTATTAATAGCTGCAGCCACTGTTGTCTGTGCCGGTTTGTTATTTTTCCACTGCGATATTTAAAATCAGTTGAAGTCGCAGACAAGAACAAACTGGTTCAAGCCAATCGTTACAAAGCCTTTAGTTGAGGGGAGAAGTGGTTAATTTGCTTTGACTGACCGCGTTTAGCCTATCTAACATTTCTATTTGTGTCTTCCACCAGCTGAAAGGAGTTTATGCACTGAAACGACCTCAGGAAAACCCAAGATGGCCGCCAAAAGGAAAGGTGGCCTGAAACTCAACGCCATCTGTGCCAAGTTGAGCCGCCAGGTGGACAGCAGCTCCCAGAACGCGGAGGGAGACCAGAGCGTGGCGGAAAACAGCGAGCGTGGTAGCTCCTACTACGACGACAACGAGACCAACTTCCCCGAGAGCCTGAGCCTCAGTCAGAGCCTCGAGGAGGACCAAAAGAGACGAGAGGCCATTGAGAAGTGGGTCAACGGCGAGTACGGGGATGAGCCGCCAGCTCCCGACGATGAGCAGGAGCACGAACTCAGAGTCAGCAACGACGAGGACGGCCCTCCTGAGGGCGTCTACATGGTGCAGCCCAAAGGCTGCAGCGATGACGAGGACAACTCCGAGGAGCCTGAGGCCCCTGTAGGCTCCCAGGATGGCAGTTACCATGATGACAAAGAAGCCGAAGACAGGCCTCCCAAAGATGACAGCTACATGCCGCCAAGCGAGGCCCAGAGTCGCCAAGCACCTTTCTCCTCTCCAGGTACGTCCTAACCACGTTCCTCTCCACAGCGTCAAGGTGACACCGCCTCATCCACCTGAACTTAAGAGTGCCTGTTACTGGAAAGAGAAGCTCTAGTGTTACAATAGGAATAGCCAGTGACATTGCTACTGTAAAGACAGATTTAGCAGGTGAGAGGGGGGGGGACTTGTTTGTGGTTCACCGTTTAAAGACATTCATAATGGGGAGGGCCTAAAACGGCAGGCATTTTGGTCTTTATTCATTCTCTCAGCAGCTGAGGGCCAAAAGCACATGGCAGGGCCAGGCTAAGCTTCATATTACACCCAGGATTACAGACTGACTCTTTGATTTTTCCCCCTAAGCTCACTAAACTTAGCCATTGCCTCAGGCTCCTCTGTTCCATGGAGATACTTTTTCTGATTTTTCCCCTCCTGCAGTCGTCAAATCTGAGCGATCAGTCATCAAATCAAGTCAGGAACATGGAGGCTCTGCGGCAGTGCCCCATCACACTCCAGCGAACCTGTTTCATTTAGATTTTTTTTTATAGAATCCTTAATACAATGGGTCGCTGTTGTAAAATGACACATAATAACCTCCGTTTAATTGTGGCATGATGTTCCCTTCGTATTGCTCACTGATTATCAAACAGATAAAGCTGGCAGTGGCTACGTGCTAACGGCTCTCACAGGCTTTTAAGAAAGTGCTGTTTAGCGTTATTCACCGTGTGACCCTTGAAACAAGCGAACGAGAGAGTGACCCTGGTAGCAGACGTTAAAACACAAAGCTGTAAAAAGAGAGAGAGAGAACCGTTGCACGGTTATAAGAATAAATAAAACCAGTTTCACTCAGAGGGAAAGAAGTTGTAGGTGAAACCGGTTGTTGTGGCAAAAAAAAAAAACAAGTTTTGTTTTGCTCACGCTCGCTTCGGTTTAACAGTATTTTAAGTTTCCATTGAGGTCTAAGTATCCACCTCAGAGACATGTTCGTCTTTTTATGATCGTTTCTTTGTTTTCAGTGAAAGAGCACACTTTGAACTGGGGGGCAGGGGGCTTCTGAGGAACGACGCAGGTTTCATTTCACAGACAAATGAAAAGTGGTTTTAATTAGTCACTTTGTTCATTTTAATGCCACAAACAAAAGCCGGTCTGTAAATACGTAGGACTGTTGCGTCTTTCCCTTTTCTGGTTCCCTCTCTGCTTTAAACCTCGGCGCTTGAAGGCTGCGGGGAGAGCATCCTGCATCAGTTGCAAATCTTATCTTTAGAGTTTCTTTCTCTCTTCTTTTTTCTTTCTCCCCGAGTCGCTCTTTGTTGATTGTAACTAGGGCATCTATATTGCCACGTTTCTGCTCGGCTCACAATTAAAACATTTTTCCTCGTCTCTTTCTTCCCCCTCTCTTTCTCGCCGCTGTCTTTCAAAGGCTGATGTGGAGTGCACATAATTATGCATATAAACATAGTGGCTTAATTATCTCTCACAACATCAGTGACAATGTAATTAACAAACATTGCAAGATCAATGAGAGAAACTGCGACCTTCAAAACATTTAACTCCTCACATTGAGGCATCGTGCGGATTTCCTATCAGTGCAAAACCCCAGAATACTTTTCCTAGATCATTTAGATGTCGCATTAGAGCCCTCTTAAGCCAGTCAACAGAAAATAAAAACAATGAATAAAAAGTATGAAAGCAATGACAGAGACGCTCGTAGCCGAGGATCAAACAGCCTTGACCATGACTTCCATTTGCAATCCTGGGTTCACCCTGAAAGGTTATTGTTCATTTCAAGCCATTTCAAAGCTCCCTCTATTTACTGCCTGTTAATTAACTAAGCAAACAGAGTGGAAGTTTTTAAGCTCCGCTTTTTCTGTGTGACAAATTACATCAAACAAATGTACATAATGTCATTTATTCATTGCAACTCTTTATTAGCTCAGCACTGTCCATTTAAACAAAACCCACTCAAACTAATTCACTGATATGAACATAAATAGCTTTTTAAATTCATAATAAATTGTTCTACGTAATTAAAAAACCACAGTATTGAAAACTTCACATGATGAGCTTATTAAAGCTCATTTTTTTGCCAAAAGTTTTATATTTCCTGCTTCTGCACTGACACTCTTTAGACGGGTCCATATATAGCATCTTTATCATCTAAAACACCTCAGCCTCTCTAGTCCTGTGAACAGTGAAGCCATGCCACACCGACGGCCATGTTTGGTCAGCAAATGGAGATATAATACCCATCTGTTATCATATCTGCGAGGGAAAATGTGGCCTAATTGCCTCAAATATAGACAAGGCAGCTCTGTGCCGTGTGTCGGATTTTGCCTACTTGAAGTGTCAAGATTAGGAGCCAGTTGTTTGTGGATTCTTACGGCGTCACCAGAGACAGCGCAGATAGAAATGTCAGATGTGCTAGTAACCAGGAAGAAATCAAAAGTACTACTTATGCAGTATGTTTTTTATGTAACAGAGGTGGTGTAATTTTGTTTTCCAGCATGGGAACATTGGCAGACTGTGGTTGAGGACAAAACTCATTTACATAGAAACATAGGGAGGCTATCCCATGTTGTTCCCAGGAATAATCCCGCCCAATTCGGACTTTTGCCTTTCATTGATCATGCGTCATGGGACTTTGCTGATTCATCAGAAATTATAATAATAAATCCTGATAAATAAATGCAGATTTAAATGGGGCACTGGCATGAACAGACAGTTTCCAGATAACCTGGCAATAGGATTGTAAACTTTTCTTTTCTTCAACAAAAACATTCAGAATTTACAGGTGAAACTCCCAAATTAAGAATAAGGCGTAAAAGTCCATTTATTCCAATGATTCAGTGTAGACTGAGAGACCTTCTTAGTGGCCTAGTGGTATGTGTGTCCGCCCTGGGATTGGGAGATTGGGGTTCAAATCCAAGGTCGGGTCATACCAAAGACCCAGTGACTCCCTGCTTCACACTCAGCTTCAAGGGGTTGGATCAGGGTGGTTAATCCACCGAATACTTCCCAAGCGCAGCCGCTGCTGCAGCTCCCCGCTCCCCACCTGAATGGGTCAGATGCAGAGGTATCATTTCACCAGTGTGTGATTATGACTAATAAGAACCCTTTGCAGGTGTTTTCATTAGCTGATTAGTGTGGGACACTTGGAGTCTAGAATATTGAACCTTTTCACAATAATCTGAGATTTGAAATTTAGGGTTTTCTTAAGCTGTAAGCCATAATCATCACAATTATAACAAATAAAGGCTTAAAATATCCAACTTTGCATGTAATGAGTCTAATTTATTAGTGTCACTTTTTAAGATAAAATAAACAAACTTTTGCACCATATTCCAATATTTTGAGTTTTACATGTAAGGTTTTAATTAGTTTTATATTTAAAAAAAATGTACATTTTACTTTGATTCCTCAGTTAGTAAAGTGTAATTTAATTTTTACGACCAAACCACTGAACGTGTTGACTGAACTTTGAAGCAATCTGATACACTGTGACTTGAGATGCTCTCATAAACAACGCAATAAAATCCAATCAAGGATTATTTTCCTAACCCAGTTAAATTAAGTGTTTGTCCAGTTTGAATGGACTCCTCACAAATGCGTTTCTAATGATCTTAAATATCGTTAACGTAAAAAAAACTTTTAATGGAAGATACAGTATTACAATACCCAGTAAGCACTTGTATACACACAGTGTCACTGTGGTTTAAGTACACATGAAAACACAATAGATTTGGCAAACATGTATGCGTTTCCTCTCAAATAGCTGATCCATTTTTCTCTTAAAAATTTCATGCCTCTTCGATCCGCCAGATACTCTTTCATACTGATCCGCAGAGCCGAGGAACAACCCCCAACATGGTGAATGGAAATTTGGGGATTATTTTACATGCTGCGCAGGAGATGTGCAGAGCAGGGCCCAGGGACTGATTTAGCAATAACTGAGAAATATGAGACAAGAACAGAAATATTTGTGTATTAATTACCTCGGATGGTTGGCGGTATTACCTCCCGCCAGCTCATGTGTGCTCTGGTGATGAAAACAGCGATAAAACACATTTAAAAAAAAAAGACTTTTGGCCCTTGTTCCTGTGACTGTGCCAAGTCTGGTTTGAGAAGCCATGTTGAAATGATCATCTGGAGAATGCTGGAATATCCGTGTTCTCAGATTCTGCCTAATATGCAAAAACATACAAGAGAAGACGTTTTTAGTTAGGTCATTTAGAAAAAGGCTACCTCGCATCTCCCAGTACTTTCTTTTTTTTCTGCTGTCACATTCCCCTTTTTCTCTGCACCATTTCCTCCTTATTAAAGCTCCTCTTCTTTATGCAGAGCTTTCAGGTCAAATCATCCTTTCCTTTCTCCTACTTTCTGACCACTTGCGCTAACCTGAATCACACTTAATGAGGCAGAATTAATCTCCACATAATGCAATTAAACTGTACATTGACTGTATTTCACTTGTGTCCTTGGGGAAGTTGTCCAATTCAAGAGTCTTAAGATTAAAACATTTTATAAATTAGGAATTATTTTTTATATTTTAAAATGTTCTAGAACGTGTTTATGCATATTTGTTGGAAGATCGTGTTTTTATTGTCGTATGAGAATTAATCAACCTTCAGCTTAATGTTTCAACATTTCTACTACAATAGCACAATAAATACAGGAAGCAAACCTGATTGTTTTATATTGTCACCTGCACATTTTGCAGCACTAGCTTACAGTTCAACCAAAACAGGATGAGGCTCAGTCTGTTTGTTTGTTTGGCGTTTTCAGGTGTTGTAGCTTGCAGTTGCAGAAGCACTTTTCCTGTTGCTATTGTTGCTAAATAACGAGGATAATGACCTCTATTCTTAAGCCTTTATCAGAGGTGTGGACACGAGTCACATGACTTGGACTTGAGTCAGACTCGAGTCATTATTTTAATGACTTCTGACTTGTCTTGATAAAATCTATAAAGACTTACGACTTGACTCTGACTTGAATGTCCATTACTTGCCAGTTGAATGGACTTGCATCTGTTGACTTGATGATGACTTGAGCATATTTGATATTTTAGCACAAAGGTGGCACGACATGGACAAAAATCATAAATCATTTCTGGTTCTGGGTGTGATCTTGTACTGCTAAATGCAGCAGCAGTTTGTTTATAATCTGTTTCAGTTGCACTTTCTGCTTGTTTGAGCAAATAAATGAAGCTTTAACCCTCCCACTGTGCTAATGGGTGTGACCCCGCGAGGAAAGTTGACCATTGAGCAGGATTGATGGTTTATCCCTTGAGGTCCACGTGGTAGGGGTGAGGAGTGAGCACCACCTCACCCCTACCACGTGGACCTCAAGGGATAAACCATCAATCCTGCTCAATGGTCAACTTTCCTTGCGGGGTCACCCATAAAGACAGTGGGAGGGTTAAGAAGCTTTATTTCTGGAATTTATTTATTATCATTGTCATTAAATTGAAGTTGGGTAGATGACTTGATCATGACTTGCAAAATCAAAGTTAAGGAATTCGACTTGACTTGGACTTCGATATCATTGAGTTTGGACTCGACGTGGACTTGGTTGTCTTTGACTTGGACGTGACTTGAGACTTGACTGGAAAGACTTGTGACTAACTTGTGACTTGCAAAGCAGTGACTTGGTCCCACCTCTGGCCTTTACACTATGAAAGTCATACCAGACCGCACAAATAACCAGACAGTTCCCAAACGTGTTTGATTTAAATTCAAGAATAAAAACAGAACTGTGCAGATGACATCCTTCTCTTTTCCTTGTGCAGGAGAAGCATCGGCCCTGCGAGACTATGCAGCCAACACCATGAATGAGATTTTGGGAATGTTTGGCTATGATGACCAGCAGGTAAGGGATGAGCTGACCAAGATCAGCTTCGACAAGCTCAAAGCTGCTACCTCAGACCCCTCATCCCTCAGCAGTGACGAGGCCTCCCGTCGCGCTCGCTTCTCCAAGTATGAAGAGTACATTCGCAAGCTAAAAGCTGGTGAGATCCCACCCTGGCCCATGAATACTTCCCCATCCAAACCGGACAACCTCAACTCCAAACTGGCCCAAGACAAAAGCCCTACCATGCTCCAGACTTCTGGGTGTCTACCAAGCAACGAGGCACAGATTTACCCCTCGGGTCTGGACCACAAACCGCCAGCGGCCCCTCAGCTGAGTAATTCTCAGACACTCAATTCCTCCCACATGCAGAACATGGCCTCCCGAGCCTCAAAGTATGACTTCTTCATTCAGAAGCTGAAGATGGGAGAGAGCCCTCAGCAGAACGGTAACACCTACAAGCGACCCTCCAAGTACGATCTGGAAAATGTGAAGTTTCTGCACCTGTTCAAACCTGGCGAGGGCAACCCTGACATGGGTGGCGCCATCGCCTTTAAGACAGGAAAAGTGGGTCGCCCTTCAAAATATGACATCCGAACAATTCAGAAGCTAATTCCAGGAAATCCCGAAGCCTCACTGATGCCCAATGTTCTGGCTACAACACCAGGGAATCCTGGAGCTGCCGGTGTCCCCACAGTTGGTGCAACTGGAGCTAGCATTGCACCAGGACTTACAATGGACCAGACGGGTCACCTAAGCTTCAATGCCGCTGATTACTTAAAATCCACCTTTTCCAAGACTGACTCCATCACTACTGGAACTGTGTCCTCAGTAAAGTAAGTTTGACTCAACAATAAAAAAAACTTTACTGAAACAACTGAATCATTGAATCTATAATTATATCAATGTTCATATCTTAATAATGTCAAATGAGAGTTTTAGATTAAGTCATTAAAATAAAAACATGGAAAAAATACTAAACAGATTCCATGTTGCTAAAACTGAATGTGACTGGAAGAAATAAAGAGATTGGGAATGAACTTGGATTTTACAGTTAAATAAATGTGTGGCACTAGCTGGCCATTTACTCTTATGTTTACCTTTAAGCTATTTCTTATATACCAATATTGTTGACTCCTAATTTCTGACACCGTTATAAATCGGTACCAAAATATGCTGTGTCCCCTTTTCGTACAAAAAGAAAAACTAAAACATGTTAGGTTACTAACATCACATATAACTTATCCTTACATTTTAAACATTGTGCGCACAATGACAACTACGAGTGCCATGTTTATTTTGTCTCCAACAGCAGCTCAGTCCCATTCTCTCTAAGCATGACACTAAGATGTGTGTATTAGTGACCAATAGTGTTATGTACTGGTGAAATTCTGGCGATATGATACATATCTCGATACGGGGAGATGATAAAATGTATCACGATATACTGTGATACATTCAGTCAGACGTGGTTAGCGATTTTCTTTGACTGAATTTATTATAGGAAAATGCAATAAACAGTCCAAACTGATACTTAACATGTTTAACATGAGGTATCTGAACCATAAAAGAGGGATTTACATTTCAATGGTGGAAACAAAACCTATTGCACACTGCTGCCAACTAGTGGTCGGCATTGGAATTGCACCTAAAGAATAGAAAATACTCAAATGATTGCATGGAAATTCTTCCAAAACTTAGATACACAACTTTTGAATATTGATGTAATATCACATGAAAAAATATCACGATATATTGCCATATCGATATTTTCTTACATCCCTAGTTAGTTATGTGCTTTTGCTTATGCAGTATATTGCAGTTATGGTGGTAAAACCTTTTTGTTAAAGATCTTCAGATAAGAAAAGCAAGGCTTGTGTGAAGAATCTTGTTTTTTTAGTCGTTTGTTTGCTGTCTAGCTATACATAGCTACATGCTATGAGGGCAACAAACGTTCATTACGCAGGGCAATTTCTACTTCACAACTTGTGCCCAAAAAACGAAATTATCTCAAAAACTTCAACTCAGATCTGACATTCTGAGAGAGAGAAGAAGTAGCTAAAGAGTTTGATGTATAAAATGTTTATGGTATGTCAATAAAAGACTGAAAACCGATACCATTATTAAGTTTTGATGCTGATGTAGGCCGGTATTTATGGTAGACAGATAATATCGAACATCTCTACCTTTTAGGCCTATTTGGAACACATCACTAATATAATGAACATGGGTTTAAATTTAGCAATGTTGGATTTAAGTTTTTGTAGACAAGAAAAATACAGAATACTTTTAATTGCAAGTTATTTTAGTGAAAATGTGGTTATTGGTTAGAAAAATCGGGATTTCTTTAACTAGGAAAACCTTAAACCTGTTTAAAATCTGAAAACCCAATTATTATTATTATTATTTTATTTTTATTTTTTTTGAAAAGGAAGTGGGGTTTGGTTGTATTACTTCTGAGTAGTCAGTATCTTACTTGCAGTAGACAGTGTCCTTTTGGGGAATCAGAGATAATTTCTTCCTGGTGAGTGAAGCTACATATCCCATTTCTGCACTGACAGAAGGCTTAAATAGCTATAATATGTTGGATCCCCAGCGTGACACCGCATAAAAGTTAGAAATAGGCTCTTGCTTCATATTGCAGTCAACTGCAGCCATAGATGCCGACTATTACCAGCTACTCCTCCGAAACCTACTTCAACCAATCTGAGCTATCCCCAAAGTTCACCGGTGGAGCGAAAATGCCAAACTCACATTTCTGTGTTCTTTGCGCCTCATGGAGCTAATGTGATGCTCACAAACTCTTAACTGCTTCTGTGAGTCAGTTAGCCAAACGCACAGGTAATTGCTACCTTCATAGCAGCCACTAGGAATGCGGTGTGAAACAGCGCATAACGCCCAATATATCCACAACATGATGAGTTGCGAGGGTGCATGAAGTGTTTACTTGCTTTAGCACTCCATGGAGACTGATTTAGCACAGTCATCGCAAAGTGACTGACTTCTTTCGTTTGGCTGGGGTGTAACAACTCTCCCTTTAATTACTTCAGAGCCATGACTAACCTCGCGGCTAGTCGCAGGGGTCGGCTCAACACTGCCTGATGAGTGCACTTTAAAGGAAGCAAACGAGGGGTTTGGGGAGCTAACCTACAGCTGTGTGCTGTACCAGTTGGAAGGAGCTTATCCAGAGTCTGTTTGATTGGTTATGACCTTGTCTCTGGTTAATCAAGACCTATCAAAGACAGTGTCGAGAGCCCTCAGGCACCTCTCCCTCACGCTTCGGCCTTTGTCAGGTTGGGGCTTTGCGATGCTGCAGTCTTGGCTAACTGACCCAGTCTGGTGCTTGTAGTACACATGGAGGAGATGTGCTAGGAGAAAATGTCTGGCAGTGCATCCTCCCCTCTGGGCCAGATTAACCTCAGGTCATCCCCCTGTGTGGAGCTGCTCACATGAAGCTAAATACCACTTGCTGCGAGGGAGCAAACAGAACCAAATCTCTATTATCACTGTTATTCTGCAGGCAGCACCGCTGTCGGCTTCACAAAAGGAATCACAACACAGGTGACAAAAGGAAAACACAATTCCTCAGCATGACTCTGTAATGTGATAAATTCCTCTTTATTTCCTGCCTTGAAATTAATTTGTGTTGAAACGTGCGCTAAGTCTATCAGCGTGTGGAATTATTTTTACACCTTTGACTGAACCGAATCCAGACGGATTGGAGTCAACCTAACATCAACGTTAGGGCCCAGGCTTCCAGGTAAACCAGGAAAGCCCATTTTCACCTCTTTTTCATCCCTATTATCCAGTTTTTCATACGAGCACTCACGGAAAATACCTCCATAAAAGATTAATGTCCCGTTTTCGCCCGTTCATTTTGCTTTTGATTGGTTGGGAGACCATGCATCAAAGTGTGCACCTTCTGTGCTTGATTCATAGGGTACATAAAAATACGCTGTTATGCCACAGAAAAATGTAAATTGGTACTACATAGTTTGGGAGTGGCTCATAAGTAAATATTGTGTCAGTTTCTTCTTATTAACAACAGTCAGCCTTACCCCACCATTAATCCTGTCTCTTTTGTGTTTGCTTTTGCATTAGGAATGGTCTGCCGCCAGATAAACCCCCCAGTGACGATGTCAACCTCTACCAAAAATATATCGCCAGGTATGCAAATCCCTTTGTGTGCTGCAACGATTCAAATGCACTCAAAACATATAGAATAGTCGTTTTTAATATAACATTTCATTCAGACATGAAACTATATATGGGTAGACTGGTAGAAAACGTCTCTGTGGTTAGTGAGTTCATTAAGAGAAGGCTGTAGTTGATGTGTTGAGAGGATGTGGAGAGATACGGTATGATGACAGCTCACTACATATGTTACAAAAAGAACACTAAAAATTAAAGGGTATTAATGAGCAAATGCAAATCCATCATGGAGGAGCTTTAAACTAAAATCATTTTATGTTGAGGAATGAATGAATAAAAAAATGTGTTATGTGAATCCTCACATCACAAGAGCCAGCATGATCTGTTAGCAATAGGAGTGCTAACTACTGCCACATGAGGTTAATATCTACACAACTTATGGAGGTAAAGCTGGACTTTAGGGCTGTTTCTCAATACTGAAGGATGCTAGTATGTTCTTGTGTACTTGACAGTTATGTTATTGGCAAGGACACCAGAAAGTCCGTTCTACTATACGGTATACAGCATTTGGAATAGGACCGTACTCCGTTGTGTCATAGCACAAAACAACCTGGCATAGGAATAAAAGTCTTATTTTGTTCCTTAAGTAACAACATAACAACACAAATGTATTACTTTTATTATATTTGTTCCACTTTTGATCAAAACTGATAATATATCAGCCTTTTCCACTGAATAAAAGTTTCTTTTTCATCAAAACAGAGCTATGCTGCTTCTATTTTGATAGTGGGTTCGCTAATCAGCCTTTTTAGGGATCGTGAAGAAGAGTAAAACTCAAACACACAGCAAATTTTACAGGTTACACACAATTATTTACTATAACAGGCAGCTTTATATAGCTTTATATATTATTTCTATTTGTATTTCTAATATAAAACATTAAGTTCTGAGCTTTCTCCTCTGATATTCTGAGTATAACGGTTTGCAACGCAATGCATTGTGGGACAAACTTCCTGATCTACTAAGTCACCAGAAACATCAGAGGACAGAAGGTATCTCAAGTTTGAGTGGATGCAGAGCAGCACAAAAATGGGATCATCACTTGTTTGTTTATTCTATATAAAAAAAAACAGCATTTGAAAAGCCAAAGTGGCTTTGGCTTTAATGATTACTTCTCGAAGCCATAACATGAAGGGCACAAATCAAAGCCTTGGCACAGAAAGAAACACACATGCACACGTCCTCTACTGCACACACACACACACACACACACACACACTCACATGTGCACATACAAACACACAAAACCCCTTCCTTGGACTGATTACATTTTGCAAGAAGATTTAATTAAGGAATTTTTAATGAGGCTTCTGCTGGCACTGCCAAGAACTGTTTTGATATTTGCGCTGCATAATGCATAAAATTTGTCTAAACATCTCGGCAGTTGATGCACAGGGAGGTTGCAGATAAGCCCAGATACAGTTTCAATTTCCGTGTTGAGGTTGGGGAAAAACAGAGAGAGAGAGAGAAAGGAAAGAAGAGGAGGGAGGGAAAGAAAAAATGGGAAAGGAGGACTCATAAAAAGGGCAAATGTAGCAGCGAGAGGGGAGGTGGAGGCGGGGGAGGAGGGTTTTTTTAGCGACGGGGTAATGAGTGCACAATATGACTAAACCCCAGCCTTGTAAATGTGTTTTATTCAATCCTTGTGAGAAAAAAAAGAGGAAAAAAAGTTGTTCATCTTTTCACCACAGTAGAGTTAAAGAGCTTCCTTGGTCATGTTTAGTTGCAGTTTTCACTCTTTAAATGCTTTCATGCACCCACCATTGCCGCGCCACTTTGATCTGCGGATCTCTATTGTAACTGGAGATGCTCTGCAATCTCTGTATTGTGGCGATATTAATATTTAATCTGCTGCTGAATAGCAGAGGCCCATTAGGCCCCCTGACGCGGCAAGTGGGAATTGTCCAGAGGCAAAGTGATACAGCTGGGCGATGAGCAGAGGGGTGGACCATGGTCTCCGGGGGGAGACGTGGGGGGACTACGTGTGTTAATCATGGCGGATGTGAAAGAACAGTATAAAGAACATTAATAGCCAGGGCAGATGTTGGTTTTTATTGTGCACACAGTCTGACTGGTTCGGACTTGTTAACCCCGTCAGGCTCAGAGTAAGTTTTGATAAAAGGACGAACAACTAAGTCCTTCAGGGGTACTTCTGAGTTAAAAATGCTCATGAAATACGTACGTGGAGTAACCAGGTAGCTAGGTTTTAACGTTGTAAATCTGCAACGCCTGCCTCCAGAGGATTAAAAAAACTGTCAGATCTTACCAAAGATCTTTTTTTCCCACTTTTACAAAGACGCACAAACACTCACAACTTAAAAACAGTAGTGGATCGGCTGTTCAATTAACTTAATGAACTGAGCAAAGTGATCTGTAAATGCAGCTCTGGGATAATCCTAACAAGGAAAGACAGAGATGGAAAAAATATTACTTAGCCCGCTTTTCCCCCTCTCCTCTGCACTGGAGCAGATGGAGTCCTTGGCAGCAGCACTGCAAATGTTTATTTGTGTGTTTTCACTGGTAATTGGAGGATTTTAACACTCATCATTGTCAGGCTTATAATCACCAGCATAAAAGCGTCTGTGCGGCAGCAAGTAGTCGCCTTGTTTTTATTTCACCCAACTATCACCAGATTTGGTTTGTGGTCTCCTGAGCAGCACCCAATCTGACCCTTTCCTCATGAAGCTCAACAGTGTTTCACCTGAAAGGACCGTAAATTGATTTGACAAGGACCTTCACAGCAATTTAAAAGAAAGAAAATACCCAAATGTTTTAGTGTCTGAGAGAAGAGAAAGGGTTTTGGAGTAATAAGTGTCTCTTATGGCTCCTTTGGAAATAAATGAAGATAATTTGGTTGAAATTGGTGTGACAGACGGGTAATTTGTGCTGGAGTGTGGAAAGCAGCAGTCGGCTTGAAGGTGTGGTGAGCTGTGTTACTCTGAAGGTGACACGTGAGACCAACACATAGCCTCAGAGCTCAATCGCCTGTTTTATTCTCTCTAATTTCTGGCATATTTAAAAATACTTGTTCTTGATTGGCTGTTGATCACTTCCACCCCCCCCCCCCCCAACACAAACTCTGCATGGTTTTGAGCATTTCTCTGTGTTAAACGACGTCATGTGACTTGGTTTTCAGGTTCTCTGGAAGTCAACACTGTGGACACGTGCACTGTGCCTACCAATACAGAGAGCATTATCACTGCATGGACCCTGAGTGTAACTACCAGGTGAGCGTGAGTACCTTGTTAATCTTTCTCCACATACACATCTAACATGCAACCGGTGCGTTTGCAAATGTAAACCATCCAATCTTTCATTTAAACCTGCAAATTAGCCAAAAAGAGCATTTTTTTTTTGTTATTAAAAGGGGACAGGGAGTTTTAAATCCAGAGGACATGATAAAAGAGATGCGATGGTCGTTGGATAAACAAATAGGACGTGGTCACACCCAGCCACAGTTTACACAGATGAGAAGTTAGCCTGCTGAACAAGCTGCTGATATTTACATCTGTTCAGTTTCGGTCACTCTCAGGCACAGCTTGCAAAAACACTTTATAACGCTGAAATATGAGCTGTTTTATCTACTGGTTCTGTTTTTTTAAGCTACTGCCACTGTAAGGGGCTTGCTTTTAATCCATTCTCACCTAATTAATCTTTCCCTGGTCCCACAACATGTCATGAACGCCGCGGTACGAGAGGAAGAAAAACACAAGGCAGATCGTAGTAGTTAGCTGCAGCACATGGCCAGAGGGAGCTTGGCAAAACACGGGCAGATTTGTCAAAGACGTAAAAACATTTAAGAAAAAATCTGCTCAGTTAGAGCTGTGGGGTTTTCTGAATTAAGCCATCTTTGCTGCAGAGTCCCCATCAAAAGAGATTACCCCTCGATAAATGTTGTTTATGTGGTGAGAAGACCCAGATCTGCGCTTTCATTTTCTGCATGAATCCCACTTCACAGTCTGATGAGACACATTCTTGGTGAACACAAAGGAAAAATCATTTCATGTCATTATTTAGAGTGTTAGTTCAGGTTATCGTGGCAATTTCCATGGTCGGGCCCTCGTTTCTCTGTTACTTTTGTGTTGCGTGGAAACACAGATACGGGAAGCCGGCTCTCAGGGATGTCAATACACTGAAAAAAATAAACAAGAAAAAAAAACTGGCAGGCTGTGATGAGCAGTCCTTTTCAGAGCGATAACTCATGAAATGTTACATGACACACACTCCTGGAATATTATCCGTCTGCCAGCCTGCGGGCGATTGGCTGAGTCCTGACATTCTCCTTTCATGGGCTTGTTGGAGAGTGCGCATCTTGCCACTCTAGTGGGAATCCTAAAATAAATGTAGCGAGTGGCTCCCAACCTTCATCACCACTCCACTGAAAATGAGATCTTTTTCCCAGTCAGCTCTCTCTCTCCGTGGCCTATTTTGGACGACTTGATGGATCGAATGTACCGTGACCACGGTTCAACTTGTCTTCCGGTCATCGTCCCCGCATTAAATACCAGAGAGCTCGTGGAGTGGGACGGACATCTGGGTTTTTCAGAAGAAGAAAAAAACTAAAGTATTCAGAAAGTGATGAAGCATTTCTTAGTTTGATTAAAAATCCTAATGAAGTGTTCGCTCCAACAAGAGCCTCGGAGTCGTACAGTGGGAAACCGTCCAGGAGAAAGGAAATGAGCAGCTGTGTGAGATCTCCGTGTTTTTACTTGTGTGGAACACACGACACACAGCAATTACCCTACTTTGTACAGCAATTAGTTTCTTTTTAGAATACGTCTTTCTGATGTTTTTTTTTCCCACAACTGCAGATAGACGTGGGTTAAAGACAGAAATGTCTCATTGATTCAAGCTTCTCCTGTTACAGTTTCTGTAGCATCAGCTTAAACCCAATTACAGCAGATTTGGTTGCAGCAGGTCTCTGCTGAGCGAACTTTTCCTGTTTCTCCTTCCCGACTCCTAAATGTGGGAGGGAGTTTTTTTTCTTATTTATTTGTAATTTTAGAAGGCGGGTCTCTTAGCATATTCATTCATCATTACAACGGAAAGCGGCACCAAAAAGGCAAGCGTTTAGTGCTTTAATTAAAAATGGAATCATATCTCAGTGAATTGAAAGGGAAAATGTTTTTTTTCTTTTTATTTGGTTGACTTGTTTGTTTGTTTCTGTTGTCTTCTGTTTTCCCCTGTGCACGTCTGAGAAACCATCTGCACGGAACATAATTTCTTCCAGACTGAAAGAAACACAAGAACTGTGATCTTGCATGTCAATTGATTCATCTTAATTTGAAAAATGTGTTTTGTTGAAAGGTTCAGACTAAACATAGATGCGTTCGGGGAGCGCATTTGGTGTTCCACGCGGAGGCTTCTCCTGAGAGTCCCCGCGCTTTTGGAAAGGACACAACTGAGATATATGCAGAGTAAATCAATAACCACAGAACGTGTCATCGTTAAAAGAAATCCTGGTTCTCTCCGTTGCGGTGTGTACATCCCGCCCCAACTGCCAACTGGCTCATGCGTGCTGCAGCTGCTGCCTCCACACAGATAAAGTGACTTGTTGCTGATCCTGTGCATGGTTTAAATAAACACCAACCTGTTGCTCCATATTTCTCCCCCTCGTGTGTTTTCAGAGGTTTACCAGTAAGCAGGATGTAATCAGGCACTACAACATGCACAAGAAGAGGGACAACTCCCTGCAGCACGGCTTCATGCGCTTCAGCCCTCTGGACGACTGCAGCGTCTACTACCACGGCTGCCACCTGAATGGAAAAAGCACCCATTACCACTGCATGCAGGTACACTACACACAGATGAACAGCTCCGCCTCCACCTTACACATAAACCTACAGTAAACCCACAAACATGTAAACAGGGCGCGTGTGGAGGTTCATGCACGCGATCACAAAAAGGCAAAAACTGGTTTGACGTGCTCAAGTATAAAGTGGAATGAGATAAATACAAAACTCATGATTCAAATGCCTTTCAACTGCCGCACAACACACGTAACTGATAGGAAACCTAGAACTCAGGTCTTACAGAAACCAAAGCTGTCTATTAAATACCTTTAAATAACTTTTATAGTGAAGAGAAGCTGTGCTATCAGCACAACGTTACAGAGAGTCAAGCAGGTTTCCTTCATCTGAGAAATCAAATGATTTTATTTTATTTTTATTATCTGTATTTCATTCAATAAAAAAATAACACAACAGATACTAAACAATATTCATAAAAACACAATATATATTTGAATGAAAGGGAGCAGATAGAAGAAAAATCTTATTATTTCTGCCCCCTTTTTAAACTTAAATATCAATTTATATTTGTGCAGTCCCTCACCAGTTCTTTCAGTCCCGTAACTGTTCACATTTGTTAATTATTATGTCCACATCAATTGTCCGTTGTCATATCCACTCAACACACATGATTTAATGTGTAGACTGAACACTTTTAGAGTTCTTGACTCTTTCCATTCTCTGTCCAGGCAATTCCACAACTTCACACCATTCACAGATATGCTCATTTCCTTCATTCTTGTTCTAAATCTAGGTTTTTTGAAGATTTCAAATCCCTTCAACGAATAACTGCCATTTTAAATGATGCCATTTTAAAGAGCTGTTTGGATAAATACAAACTTAAAATAAGGCAGCTGGTGCTTTTCTTACCTTCCTTACTCTCTCGCTCCTTAATTGGCATGGCAAAAATTTAGCTTAGTGTTTATATGAACTCTACTTTTTTTATTTTTCAGTACCAAGCAGCCTGTTGAAAATGAGCGTCGCCCTTCTGGATTTGTTTAATTTTTGGTACATCTGCTTTTTTTCAGCGTGTCACACAGCCGTGGGCAGCAGCACGCGACGGCTCCAGATATATACTTTCTTATGCAACCTAATTGTTATTAGGACGTTTCAGCCTATGTTTTAACAGACTGAGAACCTGCAGACGTTGGCATCGGTTCCCATGATTTAAGGTGGAAAAAACACACAGTGGCATTTCTTCATTGTTTGACTCAGTATGGAGAAGTTGCCCGGTTTGTGTGGCAGATGATAAACAAAGGCTGCTTTCATTTCAAACACTACCAGTTTTTTCCCACGTTGTTGGCTCAAAGCACTTGTGTGCACCAGAACATTTTAAACTAAAGACAGAGATAGTCATCTTTCTCCCGTGTGGTTTCTTCTGCCCCACCACCCCTGATTTTTTTTCCTCCGAGTTACAGTAAGTTCGTAGCAACTCCACCATCGTACTCCAAATATGAATTTCATTTTCTGAAAGGCAGCTTTGCCAGGAAGATACTGTAGTTTCAGTCCCTTTCTTTATCTATCTTCTAAAGAAGTCTGAGTTTATTGTTTTTGACCCCCGCAACCACCATGGCTCTCACCCTGTTTGTGACCTTTTAACCCTTAACCCCAAACAGTGTGTGACGAGTCTCGGGGTCAAGCTGGATGCTGGACTCACAATGGCGCCACAGATAAACTCCGTAGTGAGGTCTTGTTTTTATCAGCTTCGCCGCCTTACTCACCTCAGATGAATCCTGAAACGGAGGCATTTGGAGGCAGTCATTCATGCCTTCATTACCTCTCGCCTGGACTATGCAAACGCCCTCCTCGTTGGTGTTACGGACTCTGCCCTGAATCGGCTGCAGGTTGTTCAGAACGCTGCTGCCCGGTTCTTGACGGGTACACACCGACGTAGCCACATTACCCCTGTCCTGGAACATCTTCACTGGCTCCCTGTCATTTTCAGAGTGCAGTTTAAGTTACTGACTTTTTTTTAAAGCACTCAATGACCTGGCACCTCGCTACCTCTCTGCCCTTCTCACTCCATATGTGCCCACCCGCACGTTGAGGTCGGCTGACCTTTTGCTGCTGTACACGGCGCGGATGAGACTAAAATCGCGGGGGGATCGAGCATTTGTGCATGCTGCCCCAAAGCTTTGGAACTCTTTGCCCATTGGAGTTCGGCAGGCTCCGTCTCTGGCGGTTTTTAAATCTCGTTTAAAGACCCACTTTTACACTTTGGCTTTTAGACAGTGACTCGTTTTAGTGATTTATTGTATCATTGTTTTAATGTGTTGTTAGTATTCATCATGTTTTATCTGCCTTTGATTGAGATTTTTATCCTTTGTTTTAGCTCCTTGTAATGGTTGTGTTTTGTTTTAGCCTGTGCAGCACTTTGGGCAGCTCCCATGCTGCATTTTAAACGTGCTATATAAATAAACTATGCTATGCTATGCTATCCAGTTATCTTATCGATGACAAAGATTGTTTCCAATCTCAGGTTTAATATGAAACCTGCGATGCTCGCATGCGTTTTACCACATTAAACCTTGAATGTGAGAAAACAACCTTCTTCCACTAATTTCTAGGCCACTAGCATTTTCTTAACCACAGTGAGCTCCCTTCTCTGCAGGTTGTACAGTATATCAGATCTCTTTAAAGCAACGCATTTCAGAAGCTGCTTTTTTTTAGGGTCTCTCGCAAACCGAAACTCACGTGCACGTCGGCGACCCAGATCTGGTTTTCCATTACCGTGCTTTGTCTCTGCTTCGCAGGTGGGGTGCAGCAAGGTGTACACCAGCACCTCAGATGTCATGACCCATGAAAACTTCCACAAAAAGAACGCCCAGCTGATCAACGACGGCTTCCAGAGATTCCGTGCCACCGAGGACTGTGGCACAGTTGGATGCCAGTTCTATGGGCAGAAGACCACACACTTCCACTGCAGGTGAATAAATCTTAGGTGGAGCTTTTAAATAAAACCTTTTTTTTTTTTTGCATTACTGCTGCAATAAGTTGTGACTGTCAAAAAACGAAACATAAGCAGACCCTCTTTTGAAAAATAAAAATAAACTGAAGGAAATAGTTCTTAGAACTGAACTCAAACATTTATTTGAAGATCATGCCCTTGAAGGTTACGAGGGTTTGACATAATTACAGAGAAATAACCCCAGGTTTACTTTCAGCTGACATTTTCTGAAAGTCACATGACTGAAAAAATGGTTGGTCACTAAATCGCTCCAATCCTCCAAGACTTAGAGCACCATATTGAATGTTTTATTGACCTTTTGTTCTGTCCTCAGACGCCCCGGCTGTACGTTCACTTTCAAGAACAAGTGTGACATCGAGAAGCACAAGAGCTACCACATCAAGGACGATGCATATGCCAAGGACGGCTTCAAGAAGTTCTACAAGTATGAGGAGTGCAAGTATGAGGGCTGCGTCTACAGCAAGGCTACCAATCACTTCCACTGCATCCGCTCAGGCTGCGGCTTCACCTTCACCTCCACCAGCCAGATGACCTCCCACAAACGCAAACACGAGCGTCGGCACATCCGCTCCTCCGGCGTCATGGGCCTCTCCTCCACCTTTCTGGCCCCGAAGGACGAACCAGAGGAATCCAGCAACGACGACCTGATGGACTTCTCCGCCATCAGCAGTAAGAACTCAAGCCTGAGTGCCTCGCCCACGACGCAGCAGTCCACCACCGTTCCACACATGTTGACCACGTCCACCGCCGCCATGCCAAGCCACACCCTGAAGCCGACCCCGTCGATGCCCAGCACGGGCCAGCGCATGTCAAGCCTGCTGACTCAGACTCTGCCCACCAACATGCCGGTGGCCCTCGCTCTGTCAAACAGTGCTCTGGCCACCTCCAATCCATTCTTCCCCCTGATGCCCAGGCTGCCCCTCCAACCGCCTCCGCCTTCCTCAGGCCTGATAACAACCGCGTCTTCTGGAGCGCACTCCATGCACACAGACTCACTGACCCAAGGAGGCTCCACTGTGGGGGGAGATGCCCCCATGGCATCTACTCCATCTTCCTTCGCAGCTGCATCCATTATGGAGAAGATCTCAGCAAGCAAGGGTCTGATTTCACCCATGATGGCCAGACTGGCAGCTGCCGCTCTGAAGCCCTCCAGCAACCCAGATGCAGGTATGCCACTTTACCGATAATTAGAAAACCTCATAAATCTAACAAATAAAAGAACACTGAAGCTTTAATATTATGTTTTTTGTATAAATGCGACATCTGGAGCGAATTAATAACATGTTTAGGCAAGGTTTTATCTCTTTCTGGCTGTGGACGGAGCAGAGGAAGTGCACTCAGAGGTCACCTCATCCCAAAGTGGAGAAAGACAGGAGGACCTCTGCTTTCATGCTTAAAGGTCCTCTGCTCTGTTATTGTGTTGATCGTTTGGTAGATACCTACAAACCATTTGGAGATAAATGCGCTGACAGGGGAGAGTAGAGCCCGTAAAAGTCTCTTATGATGTTGGGAGTGGGGGGGGGCTCTCGGGGCATTTTGTCAAACATGTTTCCTCATCATCGGCCTCTTATCTCTGTCGGCGCTCGTTCCAAGCAAATGGAGGTGGAATGAAATTAAGTTCAGAAACTGCAAGAAAAAATAAAAAGATTTTTCAAATCCTCTATGCAAACTGATAAAAAAAAAAGAAGTGAAATCACTGAGGTAGAAATGACTCAACGCACCAGAGCGAGGGGAACAGGCTCCGATACAAGGAAGACACACATCAGCAGAGATGCACTTCTGGAGTTTCTAGAAACCTTTTGATTTCCCACAAACACGTCAGTGACTGTTTAGCATAAACACGATTCAAATAAGTTTGGAGGTAATTGGCTTGTTTGTGTTTATCAGAACAAACCCTTTAAAATGAAAATAAAGCGTTTAATTCTGATAATGGACAACAGAGTGCGGTGCCACGGGTTTCTCAGACTGAGCAGGTGTGTGTGTGGGGGGGGGGGGATTGGAAATGCTCCGGATTTTGGGAGTGGGAGGGATAACAACTCCCGGTGGTGTTCATGGAGCGGGACAGGTCCAGGGAGAGCTGCTCCAGGGAGCCCGGGCTGTCAGGCTGAGCTCCACCTTTGGGCCTCCAGCAGGTACCTCCACCACCAGCTGAAGGTGGGGCCTCCAGACGGTGCCCCCCTCCTCTCGTTTGACTACAGTTTGCTTCTCTTTGCTCAGAATGAAAAGGTTTTAAATCAATCATGTAGAATTTTTGTAAACGTTCATGCAAACACAGGATGGGGGGTTAGCTGTGGTTCGGTTTCTCATATTTGCTTCATAAAATGTGTGAACAGGACATTTGGGGCTAAAATGAGGAGGAAGTGGTTTGTGCGTCTCTGTCGAAAAAAAGGTGTGAGAAAACTCATAGCGCTTGAGGCTATTTTTCACTGCATCTTTACTTCTTTTGCAGTGAATTGAACCTTTTTTTCTGCATTCTGTATTTCTTCCTCCTTTTTTTTCGTTTTTATTAATGTTCCACTCTAATTTACCCCTAAGTGTTTTTCCCAGAGATTCAAGCATCTGAAGGGTTTACTAATTAGACACACGGTACAAATGATCTTTCACAAGCTCTGTATCTTATCCGGAGTAATTACATGGTGGTACATAATTCCTGGATAATTTCCAGAAAGAAGCTGCTTTGAGTCAAACTCATTTGTTTTCCCTCCCTGGGAAGTGAATAGAAGAAAATAATTCCACGAAGTGGATTTTTTCTTCCTAATCCAACTTAAAAAGTCAACTCATCTTCACATTTGTAGACGCGGTATTGCATTCAGCCCGTGATCATACGCAGATCATACAGTGCGCGGCGGCTCTTGATGTGATATGCTCTCATTTTGTCTGCGAGTTGATTTAATTGTCAACGACAAGGCAGGATTCGTCTGGCTGGTTAATTTTGGGTACACTCTTATGAAGTTGGGGGAAGGGATGGAGGGTTGGACGTGGACTCCGAACACGTTCAGTGACCTCAAACCAGAAGCATCAATGTTTGACCGCTGTTTTCTTTTCAGCCCCCCCCCCCCATCTACCCAGCCACCAAACACACATACACACGCACACACACACACTCACACAGCCCCTCCAACCTCAGCCATTGTCAAACTGAACTGACACTGACACTTCCCCATCTCCTAGCTTTCAGCTGACAGGGCCTAAGACTGGCTTTTCCACTCCTATTCTGCCTGATATGTCTTTGGGTCATCTTTGTAACGGGGCAAACTCTGCTCTGTTTCCCCCCTTTGTGTTGGCTGATCTTGAATTATTTGTTTTATCCTCTCACAACAAAATGGAGAGGATCGTCACCGGGCTGATTGCTGAGGGCACACACTCGGCTGCCCGTGACCTTGCCTGTCACTACCCCTTAAGTCCCTTATTCCTAAATAACAGATTTCCCACAAAACCAATAACAGCTGCTGGTGCGCTCCAGTTTTAAAGTCTCAGAGGTTGTGCCAGAGGTGGTGCACCTCCCACTCACATTTATTTTTTAAGATAAACCACCACTTATTGTCAGCCAGAAGCTCAGCCTTCTCTGTATAGCCTGAGGACAAATTAATATTTCAATCCCTTGGGATTGGGAGGAGGCGGGGGGGGCAGAATTCACCTTCCTGTCAGCCTTTTTACCTCAGGTCGTCCCCTGGTGTTTATTTATTTCAATTCGACTCTCCTGTCCGCACTCACAGCATTCACCGAATACCTATTTGGAGTGAAGTGATCGAGAGGTCATGCTATTTGAACCAATCTGATTGGCTGTCAGCTCCAATCTGACCGACATAGCGCCCCCCCCCCCCCCCCGTTCCTCGTGGGCATGCTCCGCGGCATCGTCCGCCATCCGTCGTCAGGCCAACAAGAAGCCTGAGAAGGTGGGAAGGGAAGGAGGGAGGGGGTGGTGGCCAATCTGAGGCTGCCACTTTCCCTCAGCATTAGCATCTCACTTAATGACTAGTTAAGAGGCAGCCTGGCAAATGAGTTGTGACAAGTGCTGCAGAAAAAGGAGTCTTTTTCCCTCATATCTCCCGCCTCTCAATCACCATCTAAAAGGCTTGACGGCCTGACATAATTCTGCAATAATTATCACTCGGAGTATTCTTTTCGGGCCTGGACAGAAGTCAGATTGGATCTCGTCACGGGGTATTGTTGCTGACCAACAATAACTTTGTTGTCTCTTCTCTCCGTCTCTGGTTTGATTCCTCAGGGAACGGGCAGCCGGCTTCAGCCAGCCAGTTCAATCTGGTTCAAGTGAAGCAGGAGCCTGTGGACACCAACTCTGGAGCTTCGCAAGACTCCACACAGGAACACAGCCTGGACCTGAGCAAGAAGGACCACTGGTACTTCCAAAAATACGAATGTTTTTTATCAACAAAAAACTATAAGCTCTAGTATTTAAAAAGGAACCAACAATAGTTGTTTTATTTCATTTCCTGAAAAGACAGTGCTGTGTTTGAGTTTGTTATACTGTCACACCTTGGTGATAAATAGGAATATTTACTGTTCTCATGCAAATCTTGACTAAACATTGTTCATTTTCCTTGTTTCAGTAATGAATCAAACGGGCACCCTGTTCCAGGGAATACATCTCTTTTATCCTCGCTTATGAATAAGGTAAGATCCATCCATCAAACGCCTTTCATCCCAAGACAAATTAGCGGGACACGGAGGGGCCTGTTTGTTTTTTAATGTTTCGCTGCTAATAAGATGAGTTTGTATCATTTAAATTTTCCAGCCATTTTTCACACGGTGTAATTTTCACTGCACCTCTCACAAATTAATATAATGAAGCAGGAGCTGGGTGCCACGCCAGATATATAGAGATGTTTGTTTTTTGATGAGCCGTTCTGAACTTGCCGTCCATTTTTTTCTCTCCCCCCTTTATACTTTTCTCGCCCCGCCTCATTCTACATTTATTTATGGAGTTTATAAATTATTTGATTAAAAAGTCGGAGGAGGAAAAACAGGAAGGCGCTGCCCTCATTTTTTAACAAGTCTAAATGTTAGCGTATGGAAATTTGAGCGTGTGCGTGTTTTTGTGAAGATTAAAATGGACGCGGCTTCAGCCATATATCTTATCCGACTGATACAAATGTTCTGGGTGCTTTCCATCACATTGGTGATGTAATGGCAGATTAATCTCCATTTTTTTTCTGTTCTCGACAACTGATCAAGTCGCCTCCCTGCCATACACACACATTGTTTTTTAAATCTTTCCGTCAATCATTAAACTCAGCTTCTGTCATGTCAGGCTGCTCAAGTTTTGAATCGAGCCTCCACATGAAAGAGTTAACCCCCACCCACCCACCCACCCACCCACCAGAGGATGCTTAGCTAACATGTCTGGCCTGAACTCCAGCAGCTCTTTTTAGCTTTACCAAATCCTGCGTGCATTTGTTTGCTGGTTTTCAGTGTCGCTAACGTTCAAAAACCACATGCTTTCAAACCTCGTTTGTGTTTTGTAGATGTCACAGGTGAACCCCGCCCTCTTCAATGCCATGCACCTAAAAACAGAGCTGGAGGGCGGCCAGGCCAACGACTCCTCCGAGGCGGCGCAGTATCTGAGCAGAGTGCTGAAGAGGCCTGAAAATCCCTCTGAGATCTGGAGGACATACCTCCGGAGGTAAAATGACAAAGACATATCATTTTCATGGAAGTTTCATTGTTTGAAAACAATAAGTTCTGTTTGAAGTCTTTGCTCCTGGAAGGTTGTTTTTGTAAAAGCTATTTAAAACATAAAAAGAATCCAATCCTGCAGGAATTCGATAACTTCCAGTAAAACAAATCAGAAAATATTTGCAGTCGAGTCGGACCAGTTATCCCCTTTGTTTAAGGAGGCGGTATATTTATAGTGTTTTCTTTCCTGTCCATGGGAAGGTTTGACACTGATGACTTCTGTGAGGCTCAGTGTGACTTTCTTCGGAAAGTGCACTTCCACTGTTTGGTAGAGGACTGCGGTGCCCTCTTCAGCACCGTGGATGGGGCCATAAAACACGCTAAGTGAGTGTCACGCCGGTTCTTGTTTGGAAAATAAACCGCTTTGCTTTATTGATCAGTATAAAAATGAGGTCCCATCTCGTCTCGTAGCTTCCACCTTCGAGCCACCTTGAAAGTAAAACCAGAGTCCCAGTTCAGTGACGGCAAAGAGTCCAGCGAGGCCGCTCCGCTGCAGCCCGTCGCCCCTGTCTCTATAGCCAGTAACCCCTCCATGGATGTGGCGAATCTCACCTCCTCTGGTGGCTACAGCTCTCCTCCTCCTTCCCTGTTGCCCTGGAAGCAGCTGACCGGCAGCATCCCTCAGATGCCGGCCTCGATGCCCAACCTGCCGGCAAACTCCCTTCTTGCCACCACGTCCTTGGAAAATGCCAAGCCACAAGTCAAACCTGGTTTTCTGCAGTTCCAGGAAAAGTATGAGGGGCAATCGTTTCTCCTTTAAACGTGTTGCTTTTACGGAGGGAGCTATTTGATCCAAATGTTTATTTTTTCTGTGCATCCAGTGATCCCTGTTTGGCTACCGACTGCAAGTACTCCAACAAGTTCCACTTCCACTGCTTGTTTGGAAACTGCAAGTACGTGTGTAAGACATCTGGGAAAGCAGAGTCCCATTGTTTGGACCACATCAACCCCAACAACAACCTGGTCAACGTCCGTGACCAGTTTTCCTACTACTCCCTGCAGTGCCTCTGTCCCAACCAGGTGAGTGAATCCCTCACAACTCAGCCAGGAGTCGGAGCGCTGCCTGTCATCCCTCCGAGCTTTCTAACTGTGAAGTATTCTATCTATTAGACCCGTATTTGAGGTTATTTGACTCAAGGCTTTCACAACCGCTGCTCCCCGTCTTCCGTCTCTGCTGAGAAAGACAGTCGACTCACCCCAGTAATGCCTGTTTATATGTCAATGATGTCATTTTGACTGCCGCATTCTCCTCTCAGAAAAGGCCAATTTAGCTGATATTACCCAATAAATCATTGTCACTCGCACAGTAAACAAGGCTGTCTGGAATAGGGCAAAAATCAGGGGAATGCTTGGCAAATGAAACCTAAATGGCATCCCCCCTGCCTGCTCTCATGAGCCAGTATTTGGAAAACGTCTAAATGAATTCATTAATGTGTCGAAAATCACCCATCTCACGAAAAGTCCCCGCCTCCCCCTCCTCCTCCCCTTTCTCCTTCTGCTCCCCTGTCCTCCTCTTCCTCCTCCCTTTAGTCTCCATCTCCTGAACGGAGCAGATCTTATTTGGCCTGGTCCTTTGGGATCTGAGCCTCACAAACAGATGGCAGTGTACAGACATGTTGGAGAGAAGTGTGTGTGCTTGCATGTGCATGCACGTGTGTGTGTGTGTGTGTGTGTGTGTGTGTGTGTGTGTGTGTGTGTGTGTGTGTGTGTGTGTGTGGTGAGGAGCCTAATAAAAAGTAATTGTACAGCCAGAATAGAAAAGTGTTGACTTTATTCACAACGTGCGTTAAATAAAGTTACCCTCCCACCCCTCCCTGCAGCACTGCGAGTTCAGAATGAGGGGCCACTATCACTGTCTGAGGCCCGGCTGCTTCTTCGTCACCAACATCACCACCAAGCTGCCGTGGCACATCAAGAAACACGAGAAGGCAGAGCGCCGAGCCGCCAACGGCTTCAAGTATTTCACCAAGAGGGAGGAGTGCGGCAGGCTGGGTAAGAAGAACCCAAATCTCCCAGATCCCGGCTCATTTCTGACCCGTTTGAGTCTTCTCACAAAAACCTCCAACTCATCCCGAGCAGCTTCTTTGTTAATAGTATTTTGACAAGAGAGTCGCGTGGATTAAACAGAGTTACAGGGAGGAAGACGCAGATTGATCTGTACTGGCTGTTGCAAGAGGATATTCTGTGTTTACAAAGGGAGAGAGACCAGTGTTGGCAAACACGGCGTTGGGCTTTGTGAGCGGTTTAAAAGCCACGAAGCAAGTGTGCCTCGCAGACGTCGTTGCTCCGTTTTGTGTATTCACAATGGCACCTCGAGTCCCAAAGGAAGTCTCGCCTGTGCTACTATATGAGCAATAATGTCAAAGAGGGCAATCGCATCCAGGTTGTTTTCCCTCTTTCCTTTGCCCCTGTCAGAAATGAGCAATTAGGTTTGTGTTTGTTAATTATCTGGCTTGTCTGGTTTAGCCTGTTTGTGTTGTGGAGCTGCGCCTCAGCCACCACCGCTGCCATCGCGCAGAAGTGAATTAAAAGTGATCTGTTTTTTTTTTTCAGGCGGTTACACAAGCTTTTCAGAGCACAGAGACAAAGCAAACAAAACTGGGCCCTAAACAGCTGTTTTTTGTCCCCAGCCTGATCTGCCAACTGCATTGTTTAGTCAGAGAGGGGAGAGAAAAAAACCCAGAAAGGATTACCATCGCCGGGCGCGCTCGTCATAAAGAATTGATGGGTTGCCAGTATCCATGGCAGCAACATTAAACGGAGCACTGCTGATGATGTTACCTGGTTTCTGTCTCACAAAAGGGCCCCGGTGTCACACGGGTTACTGTTATTTGCTCATCTTTGCGTGTCTGAAACGTTGTGTGTGCCGCAGCTGTTTTGATGACACAGACATGTTCTTCCCCCAAACTGAGCACCATAGTTCCTGACATCCTAGAGCATCCACCTGCCCAACTCTTTCAATTATTTCTGCCTGCTTTTATATAATGGTATTCGATTAACAGGCACAAAACGGAACAATCATTTAATTTGAAATCATAAAGCAATTAGAGGTAGACCAGTTAAAACAGGAGAAAACCAACAGAAGACGACGACGCAGACAGCAGAACAAAAGGAGGGATGGCAAGGGAGATACTTTGAGAAATGAATTTAATATGGTAATAATCGTATATTTACTTTGGTTTGGAGGGATGTGTGCATTATTGGCCCACAGAAAATGAGAATTTATTTATGTAAATTCCTAATTGAATAAAGCATGTCAGTGTAATAAAAGAGCTCCACAGGTTTAGAGCACAGAAGCCTTGACTTGCTCAGTGTGACACCGGTGATCTAATATTCCTCCTACATGTACACTTCCAAACCCAATCCCTCTTTTGTCGGAGCTATATCATGAAATAAAAGAAGTAAAAATATTTCATCTTAATCTAATCAGCCCACTCACGTTGGTATTATTGCCCTTAGCTGTTTGTTTTTTGGGATGCTTCACAATGAGCCAGAGACAAATTGATCTGAATGGAGAGTTCACCGCCGCCGCTGCTTTCTCTTGGGCAGGTTGCAAGTATAACCAAGTCAACAGCCACTTCCACTGCATCCGAGAGGGTTGCCAGTTCTCCTTCCTGCTCAAGCACCAGATGACCTCCCACGCTCGCAAGCACATGAGGCGGATGCTCGGAAAGAACTTCGACAGAGTCCCATCCCAGGTACAAAAGCAACTACCCAAAACCACACACGCCATTTTTCACCAAGAAAGAAAAAAATTGGTATTTTTATGGTTTTTTTCCATGAATTTCCTGATAAAAAATATGTTTTTAGAACTCCTGCACCAGTTTTGCTCAGTTTGTTGTCGGTTCACTGTTTAGCAGTGCTTTGTTTCCTGTAAAATGAGTCAGATTCAGAGAAAAACAGAAAGTAATTTCCCGTCACACTAGTCAATGACATGTTGTTTTTTGACGTTATTATTATTATTGAAATCTTCTCACTGGAATGATCGTGTACGTTTTCTTTTCTACTAAAACACCCAAGTACAAACTGTGCCGTGCTCGGATTTAAGCATGCTGATTTTCTTGTTCTCTTTGTTCCGTTTTATTATTTTGTGGTTCTCAGAAAAGTAAAGAATGAAGTTGATCCATTCAAAGAATACTTTTGACTACTAAAAAAAAAATCCTGTTTGTGTGCCAACAAATAAGCACGTGTGTAAATGAGTCATTAGAGCCGGCAGAGTTTTAATCCTTTGGCAGGAAGATGATCTTTTGGGTTGTTTCCAGGTGATGCCGCTCGGCCAGAGGGGAGACGACATGCAGCACGCCACCGGCTTGGTGTCTGGGCCTGTTTCGTCCCAGCCTGGCATCATCTCCAACTACTCCTCCGCTATGATCAACGAGACTGATGACTACCTGGACTACATGGGAGGAGGAGGAGGGGGAAGCAGCCCGCTGGGCCTCTCCTCCGAGTCCTCCAACCAGGACCGAAGTTGCACCAGCACACCCGTAGGCAACGACAGCTCTCCAGCAGGTGAGAGGAAGTCTAAATCATCCGAGTCAGCAAGTAGAGGTTTAGATTTTGTGTGGTTTAACAGCAAGTTTCCCACAGCCTCACTTAATCCACTCTCGCCTTTTTTTCTCTCAGAAAGCCAGAAACATGTCATTTCAGACGTTTGTTAATCACACGTTTCCTGTCTCAGTAGGTTGACTTACAATCGATAGAAATGTGAGTCATGATCCACGAAGGCTGATGACAAATGCTGCTGCCTTTTGTTCTGAGCTGTGGATGAGACATTTTACAGTTTGCTTGGTCATCGTCATAAAAACTCCATTCTGTACATCAGTGGTCTGAGTTATCGATCTTAATTCACATTCTCACATTTTCTTTTGGCCAGAGATCATCACGCCTGCAGCTTTATGCCAACTTTAGCAGTTTTAGCGGGTCAAACTGAAAACATAAAGAGTAGAAAAACCAGCATTTTTTCCTCCTAAATCACACTGAATAGATTATTTCTCTGCTTGTACTTTATCTCAGCCCAGCTGTGATTTTCACATTTCTTCACATGTTGCCAATATGATTCACTGCTTTCATCATTGTTGTTTTGGCTGGTGTTTGGGTTACTTTGTCTTGAATGGGCCTCATTTGTTTCATTATCTTATCTTTTATCTTTCTCTTTCTTCTGCCCATCCCTCTGTGTATGTGTGTGTGTGTGTGTGTGTGTGCGTGCGTGATTTGACCCCTGTTTTTGTGCCCCCTCCCCTTCTCACCTGTCCTTCACCCCTTCTGGTCAACCTGTCTCTCCAGGACAAGGCTGCCTCACCACCGCTTCTGCTCCTACCACCCCTGCTGACACTAGTGCTACCCAAAATGAACCTCCTTCTTCCCCTCCTGCACAACCTCCTCCTCCGCCCCCACCACTAGCACCGCCTCCCCTCTCCATGCCTCAGCCTGGCCTCCATTCCCAGGCCCCATCTCTTTCCCCCGCTCTCCTCCGACCTCCTCTCCCCTCACTCCCATACCTCCTCTCTCCGTCATGTCTGTCATACTCTCTGCTCAGCGCCTCTTTGGGAGCCACTCGGAGTGTTGTCATGCCAACCAACACACCAGCTTTCAGCCCCATCATTGCCACTCCGTCTCCGGTTAAAAATGACGTCCCTATAGTGCAGGATGCTGCAGGTACTTATCTCCGGCACAAATCAACTCTGCAGCTGTCACTCTCATTTACCGAGTCCTTTTGCAGCATTAACTGTGTGATCCAGCCCTTTTTTTCCGCAGCACTGTTGAGACATGAAAATGATGTGAAAATAAGTTTGACGAGAGAATGATAAACTACAAATTCACCTTAGCGTGTACTTCCAGTTTTGGCAGTAGCAGAACTGAGGGATAGAGCTGTAAATTTAGCACCTGTTCTCCGAAGCATGGGCCTTGTTTAGTTTCCATTAACAAGGCTGCATCAGCAGCTTCTTATTTTAATCACGCCTCAAGTTTTATCGAGGCCCACTGCTTCCTGTCGTGCAGAACAGGGATCGCATCATTAGCGGTGACCCCAGGGTGTTGCAAAAGGTGGGTGCCCCTCATAAAACAACACAGAGATAAGAGGGTTGGTTAAGACTCGCTGCTCCGTCTTTGTTTGGAGGCTGGAGACACTCTGTAAAAGTGTCATGTTCCACAGTCAATCTATCATTCCCCCCTCCCCCCTTCCTTTAATCATTCTGGGAATTAGGAATAAAAAAATATGGCTCTCTGTGCTTACTCAGCTGTGAACCACTTCTGGCTGAGTAGAGTTCAACATTAGAGTTTTAACCCGGGCAGTAATTTGCTTGTAGTTTGTGGGTTTCACTTTGCGAGCCAACTGATTACGCTTTAATGTGCCTTCTTCTTTCCTTTTAGGCAACACCATCTCCATTCCCACGGCAGCTGGTGCAAAGAAGCGCTTCTGGATCATCGAGGACATGTCGCCGTACGGTAAACGCCGCAAGACTCCGTCGTCCCGTAAGATGCTGGATGAGGGGATGATGCTGGAGGGCTTTCGGCGCTACGACCTGTACGAGAACTGCAAGGACTCCACCTGCCATTTCTCTCTGAAAGTCACCCACTACCACTGCACCCGTGAGAACTGTGGCTACAAGTTCTGCGGCCGCACCCACATGTACAAGCATGCCCAGCACCACGACCGCGTGGACAACCTGGTCCTGGACGACTTCAAGCGCTTCAAATCCTCGCTCAGCTGCAACTTCCCAGACTGCCAGTTCTCTGGCAACAGCACCCACTTCCACTGCCTACGCTGCGGCTTCCGCTGCACCGACAGCACCAAGGTGACGGCCCACCGTAAGCACCACGGCAAGCAAGATGTGATCAGCGCCGCTGGCTTCTGCCAGTTCAGCTCCAGCGTTGACTGTGAGGTTCCTGACTGCAAATATAAGCTGAAGTGCTCACACTTCCACTGCACCTTCCCAGAGTGCAAGCACACGGTGGTGGGCATGTCTCAGATGGACTCCCACAAGAGGAAGCACGAGAAGCAGGAGCGGGGCGAGCTGCCGTCGGTCTCACCAAAACAGGAGGGGATGCATCACCTGACGGGAAACATAGGAGCGGTCGCTCCATCACCCATGAGCATCTCTACTTCCTCTTCTGGGGGCATCCACGGGTTGTCCCACAACCTCAACAGCAGCGCTCCCTCTCTAATCTACCAGACGGGCAGCATCACCTCTGACTACAACCACTCCTACCCACCATCCTCCATCAGCCTAGACAGCTCCCTGAACCTGGGCACCGACACCAGCAGCTCCCTGTTCTTCCTGAAGAACGCGGTGGGCCTGGGTCTCAGTGACTCGCTGGACCTCAGCAAGAAGATGCACCGTGACGTAGCACGCCAGGGCCACAACCCCGGCCCCCAGCTGGGCCTGCAGGCAGCCCAGGACGACACCACGGGAACGTCCGGAGAGGCCGAAGACGACATGTCGCCAGAGGAGGAGGGGCACGCCGAGGAAGAGGACGATGACGACGAGGACGAGGAGGAAGAAGACGAAGTGGAGGACGATCTCAACACTGACTCTAATGATGACTCACTGGCAGAACCCGACGGTGAAAAGGACGATGACGAGTGTTTTGACGCTTCCGTTGACCACACTGATACTTCCCATTTGGAAAAGCAAGACACTGACCCATAGAGACAGAAAATAAACAAACAAACATGAGACTGTAGGAACTACAGAACAATCCTGTGTACCACAAACAAACAAACAAAAGAAAGTGGCCTCGTTCATCACGTTTAGAGACTTCCAACGACAACCACAAAAATAAAATAAAAACAGCATCAGCGTGAAGAAAGTGATGGCTCCTCAAGATTCATCATGATGTTTACAAAATGACCAACATTATTGATTCAATTATGCATAAAAAACAGAAATGAAGACACACAGTTAGGCTCTGTTTTACACGCCGGACAGCAAATGTAAAGCGTTTTACAACACATCAGTCTTTTGTGTGCGTGCATGTTTGACTAATTTATTTTTATTCTCTTTTTTTTCCACATTTTTGTGTGTGAAAAAAAAAACACTTTAGAAAAATAAAAAACAAATCTCGCTATATAACTATATATGTAAGTGTGTGTGTGTGTGTGTGTGTGTGTGTGTGTGTGTGTGTGTGTGTGTGTGTGTGTGTGTGTGTGTGTGTGTGCGCGTGTGAGAATGATAAAGAAAAAGGAAAGTTCTGGCACGGGTGACATGAACTGAAGCGCCGTGAATAAAGAAAAAGGGACACGAGCAGGATGTGTTTCAAGCATTTGATTCTTTTTATGTATTATTATTAATATTATTGTCATTAGACGCCGATCGAAAGGGGTTACGTGTTTCTTTTCTCCCCCTTCGTTGGTAAACGTTTGTGTTCTCACGTGGAATTGACCAATAAGTGTTTGGTCAAGCCGCCAGCCTCGACAGTTCTCTCAGTCCTTCACTAGAAACAAGCTTCCAGTGAAGCTTTCGCCCTTTTAACCCTCTCTCTGCGCAGGAGTCAAAGGTTTGTGCGTGAACGGTGCACTTTTCTGTTAGCTGACCACGAAAGGAAAAAAAAAGATGACCCTGAAAGAAAACTCATGAGTTTATTTAAAAAAATATTTTTGTTACCGTTTGCATCTTTGCATTAAAATGTTGTTTTTGTCGTAATGTCAGTCAGAAGCATATCGATGTGTAAGTAGGGCAGTTTAAGGACCACGAGTCGGGCGTGTGTGTGTGGGCGGAGCTTAGACGGGCGGGGGAGGGGTGGTCCGAGGACACGACGAGTCACTCAGATGATGCGGCGGGTTGGATGGCAGAGGAAGCATCAGGGAGTGTGTTATATGTTGAAAAATGTACAGACCGGCAAATGTCCCGAATGGCATTTAATTATTTTTGTTCTTTCTTTTTTTTTTCACTAAGACTGTGGTTGAGCTCCTCATGTGATGGTTTTTATTTAATATTTATGTGACCTTCCAATGAGAAAAAAAATTAGGGTGTTTTTGCACTTTTTAGATTCATTTTTACATCTGAAAAAATAAATAAATAAAAGAATAAACAAACGATCTCGTTTAACAGGGAATTTGCTTTAACGGTGTTGTTTTGGTTCACTTTTTTTGCTTTAATGCACAACTAGATGTTAGACCACAAACTGTTGATCTGTGGTTAATTTAAAGACTGGGTTTTATTTTGCTTCTTTGTGATTGGACAGTTTGAATTATTAATAATAAAAATGATAATAATAATATTAATAATAAAAGAGGAAGTGTGTGGCACCAGGAAAAAAGGGCGCCTTGATAAACACTAATATGAACTGTGTGGTTTAAATTCATTCATATAAGAAGTTTATAAATGCTCACTTACTGTAATACTAAATTATGAATTTGTCGAACCATGCTCTGTTTTATTCTATTTTTCTCTTTTGTTTTTTATTGAGTGAATTACGTACGACTGAGGAGTGGACACACTGAAATATCTCCTGAGCTTGGCATTGGAAATAAATGATCATAATATAGGGAAATAATAATGTGTGTAGTTGATTTTCCTTGAAATATTGTTTTGAGAAGGAAAAGACAAAAAAAAGGTTGTACAGTATTTTCCTCTGTAAAAAAATAACTATATATGAACAAAATGCTCTTTGAACAGGTTCCTTTCAAAAGAAAATCATAAAAAAGGAAAAATGAATAATAAAAATGTTAAAAGATTCAAATAGACTCGTTATAGTTTGTGTGCTTGAGCTTTCCTTTTTGCCGTTTATTTGAAATTTTCAGACTCTGTCAGATGTTCAAACGGAAATACACTGATTTGAATTCATTCCCTGATGTTTCTTGTTTATTTTATTGACAGTCGTTGTCGTTATCTTTTTGTCTCTACTTTGCTGTGGGCACGCATCGCTGTCGGACCGCACCATCTCCTGGGACACTGTCGCAAAGCCGAGGCATCGCTGTGTTTGTTTTGTTTTCTCATCATGCGCAGGGACAACTGTAGGGGCTGGGAGATGCCGAGCACTTGAATTCAGTGTGTGTGTGAGTGTGTGTGTGTGTCTGCGAGGGTGTTAAATAGCAGGATCTGTACAATGTTGAAAATAAAGAAACTCTGATTATTATGACAGTGAGCATGTAGTGCTTGAAAACGATCCAGCCTGGGGACATTAAGGGGCTTGTGTGTGGAGGGGAAGCGCGCTGCTGGATGACAGCGGGGTCAGAAGGTCACGACGTCTCTCTCTCTCTCTCTCTCTCCCACTCTGTCCCGCCTGAAAGAGACTAACTACAGACCTGTGGTTGTGTCTCAGCTGCTCGGAGCTTCGCTGCAGACCAATAACCTCATCTTTTTTTCTGCTTTCTGCTGCAAATTAGATGCTTTTTAAATACATCTAAAAACCGTCCTCCCATTAAGGGATTTTATAGGCCTGATCGTGTCGACTGCTGCTGCTGAGATTTCTCTGTTTGCCTTTTGCAGCATTTGGAGGACACATTATTATTATTATTATTATTATCATTATTATTATCATTTATTTTATTAGATTCCTCCTTCCTGTTTTTGCCTGGAGGCATGTTATGGATTCTCCCCCCTCTGCCGTATGTCACCCAGAGGCCATTGAGCTGACCGCCTGTCCCCTCAGCTACAGCTGTTCCTGTCCTTCCTTCTTCTCTTTGTGATGTTTTTAATAAAAAATAAATATGTAAAAGGAAAAAGAACTAAACGTGGGTAAAGGCATCGCCATCTGTCAGCCAGCTGGTTTTCTGTGTATTATCTATTATAATAGAGGCAAAAAGGAAAATGGGATAAACATGAAAATGATATTACTTAAAAAACCAGACCGGATCAACCTCCACAAACCTGGCCTGTGCTCGAGATGACAGATCATTTTATTGCTCTTATTAACTGAATAAAAAGATGAAGAAATAAACAAAGATCTGTTTCACCTGCTGCAGAAACGAGAGATGAAAGACGCCAACGTGCTGCAGAGCAGCAGATAAGCGTTTCAAACTTTGTAGATGATATTGCACTTTTGGACTAAAAGCCATCTGCCGTTAGCGTTCAATTTGGTGAGATTTATTAGATGTTTGATATGAAAAACAGAATAATAAAGCTTTTTTAAACTCAGCCTTTGCTTCTCTTCTGCTCAACCTGTTCTTTCACCCCACTTGCTGTTTATGTTTGTCTGATATTTGTGTTTGTTTCTGCATGTTTGATGCAAAAATTAAGCTTTTCAGTCTCTGAAATAAAAACAACTTAGGTCTGCTTTTAGTGTCTGTGAATTTATTTTATTATATTATTAAAGAAAACACATTTTATAGTAACTTCTGCTTTTCCAGCTCATAGTAATGTAAAAAAAAACCTAGTCGTACACGTTCTGAGCACCAACAGTGTGGCGGCTGCTGGCCAACTCTCACACATGGTTGATGTGCCAGGAACAGGTTTGTGTGTGTGTGTGTGTGTGTGTGTGTGTGTGTGTGTGTGTGTGTGTGTGTGTGTGTGTGTGTGTGTGTGTGTGTGTGTGTGTGTGTGTAGGCAACAGTTGAGGCTGGGAACATGCACGACAGGTGTGTGCTGCATATGTGATCACATGATGCCTATAAGGCAGATTAGGACTCAAACAGATGAAGCGCTGCTTAATGGCAGCTTTTATTAAGTTCACAAAGCGTGCAGGGGAGGGAGGGGAGGTGGGGGAGACAGAGGAAAAGCAGGTGGCTGGGCTTGTGCACTCCTAGATGAAGACAGATATTGTTCAGCGCAGCCTGAAGAGGGTCGCCGCTGTGGAAGGATTTATGGAGATTTGGCTGCTCTGGACCCACCGCCCGCCTGTCCCTGAGTCCTGCTGTAATACGCTGAAACCTGGAGGAGCTTAGAGAGAGGGAAGTAGCAGCGAAGAAGCCAGAGAGTGATTATGTGAGGAAAGAAAGAGAAAGCTGGTTACTCATATCAAAATAAGTTTGACTGAATGAGAACAGTGTTGCGCCGGAATTAGATATTTAGATAGAATGTGAAGCTAAAAGATTTTTAATTTTGGAAATGTATCGGTCAAAAGGGTGGTACTTCTAGCAGGTGGTTCACACCTCAGTGACGAGGACCCTGCTGCCCTCAGTCACAGAATCAAAGTTTTTCAAGCAGGCTGAACATTAAAATAGTCTCCTACACCGATCTCCTGCATTAGCTTCTGATAGAAAATAGACTGTGAAACTCTAGGATTTGAAAATCCGGACAGATCTACGTCACACTGTCACTCAGCCTTCATGGACTCACCCATACCGACTTGCAACGGGGAAGGTGGTTGTTGTTTTAGCGTCCAGAATCAGTAGAGAACAGCTCGGCTTGTAGGAGCTAACCGTTAGCATTAGCAACTCAACCACATGGCAGAAGCTCCTCCAGGCTTGTGTTACTGGTGGAGAATAAACATCCATGCTGCAGAGTAAACACACTCTGTGGTAGAGTCGCGTTACTGTTATCCGTTCTGAGGCAAGATGTCCAAATATCAGGAAACAAAACTCCGCATCCTGCTGCTTCAGACTTGTCCCTGCTGATGCAGGCGTTTCTGGCCTTTATTTGCCGCGAGTACGGTTCGCAAGGCATTCATTTCTACCAGAGACCACTGCAGAAGTACTGATTAAACGAGTTTCCCACAACTTTAAATTAAAACAACAAAGACGGACAGAATCAACGAAATGGTGGAAGATGTTTAAAATTATTTTCAAGTGATCTTTGATGTGTTTCTCATAAACACAAAAACCTGCATGTTGCGTCTTAAAGATCTTGCATATCATACTTTACACGAGGATCATTTATCTTTGTCTCAAATTCCCGTTCAGCCGCCGTGGTTCCGAGATATAAACAGTTGTGTTTGCTGACATATTAACAAAATCCTGCCAGACTTGAACCTGGGAACAACTGAAGGGCTACATTTAGCTGGTGATATTTAGTAAGTCACGTTGCACAAAATAGGGGGACGTTGTGCTTTGACTAGCCGTTAGCTTATCAGTCGTGAACAGCAGCTGACTAAAATAGGTAAGATAACCCATGTTTATAAAATAACTTGCATTAAAATGGCTAAAAATTCCCTTTAACAGCTGACTCCTTTGGGCAGAGAGATGGTATCAGCTTCACCAGCTGGTGTGAAAATTAACACTCAAATAACACTCTCTTTCTACAAACAAAAAAGTTTTCAGTGCAGTAAAATAAGGAACATTTTGCATAGAACAGATAACCCAGCCATGCTTTCGTTCTTTTTTAAACACAGAAACAGTTTTGTTTACCTGTTTGTAGCTACAAAGTATTGGACAAGTAGCTACAAACAGGTAAACAAAACTGTTTCTGTGTTTAAAAAAGAACGAAAGCATGGATTTACAAAGACACAGCAAGAACACACCTAAGATAACCCAGCTTCTGTGACACCTTTGTTATGGTTGATGGGCACCACGGGTATCAGAGGTATTGTGTACATAAAACACGTCTGCACCGGTCGTTTTACGCCTTCATTGGTCCATTTATAGTTCAGCTTTTTGAATGAGATGTGCCCCTCATCTCTTTCAGCGCCCTGCCCCGGTTAGACCCCTCTTAAACCCCATGCCCTTTGCAATTGATGTTCATTTATCTATTTTTGCATGTGTGGGAGCTTATTTTGGACAGAGCACAGTCACGGAGCAGAAAAGGGGGATTGTGAGGGAAAAGGAAGCAGTGCCATTGGTAGCAGCTGTTTCTGCTGAGACACCTCTGAGGAAATGGAGAATTGGACACACACTCATCCAATTTACCATTAACAAGACCTTATTGGATGCAGGCCCTAAGAAACATGTGGCTTTGCCTTATGTGGCTCTTTTTATATGTGGTGCTGTGCTACTTGACTGTGTGTGTGTGTGTGTGTGTGTGTGTGTGTGTGTGTGTGTGTGTGTGTGTGTGTGTGTGGCGTGTGCGTGTGCGTGTGCGTGTGTGTGTGTGTGTGTGAGAGAGAGATTTGGGAGTGTAATTTATCTGTCATCCAGCTAAAGTAAAAACAACGCTTTGATGATACTCTGCAACTGTTATTGAAATGAAGGAGAAAATGAGCCACAAATAACAAAAGTTTCCATGTTTTTGGAAGAATTTCTAATAAAGCCGTCCACAGGAAAGCCTGACTTGTAACATGAGATCATTTCAACCACCAAACACTTACGCTGATCAAACACAATTATGATTTCCATCCTTTTTATGTTTTCCACATTTCTATCCAACCACACCGGAAAGAGTTTGGGTTTAGTTAGGACTTTTGAGTCACAAACCACCGGTCTGACAGGATCTTCTTCATGATTGCATTTGTTGATGAATGTACGATCTTCTAAAGAGCTGGGGTTCTTTCCAGCTCGACACCTGCAAGATTTCTTTTTTCTGGTCCGGTAACATTTTTCCCCATTTTCGTTTTTTCCTATAAACACATTTTTAAGAGGGCGTCATATCTAAAAATCTTAAGCTCCAGTAAGGACATGAAGATAACAGAACATTCTTTCTCACAGATTTTGCTGGAACATTCAGTTATTGGAAACAAAGACTGGTGTGTGTTTTTTAACTTCAAAAACCAGAAAAACTGGATCAAAGCCTGGCCGGTAAACACATACAGAGTCGAGCATCCGGAAACTAGATCTGATTATCACATGGATGGCTCAGGAAATTTTTACTGCTATTTTTCAAAAAGCTTCATTCCCTTTTGTTTTTGTATCCACAGTGATGTCAGGGTTCACTTGAGCTCACTGTTTGGCTAAAGAGTGCTTCACAGAAAGGACAGGAAATGAGTTGAGTGCACACATATAGGTTAAACTATTAAGTTTGGATTTTTAGATGACATTTAAAGGAATTTCATCAGTTTATTTCACGTTAGACTTTGCATGATATACAGTCGGTAGTCCAACCACAGTGTAAAACCTCCCAAAGATCCTCAATGGGGTTAAAGGTGTTGAACACTCATTTAATCAAAACATTTGCAGTGGTCTAAGGTAGGAATGAATGCCTTGCAAGTCATACTCGGGGGTGAAAAAGCCCATAAGTGACCTGGAACAGCACGGAGAAGTCAGCTGCTGCAGAAAGTGGCAGCAGACTGCAGGAATTGGAGTCTTATTTCCTGATATTTGGACATTT